GGGAAAAAGGTCCGTTTTTATTTTTATTTTTATTTTTTTTCTTTTTCTTTTTGTTTTTTAATGTTTTATTTACAAAACAGAAAATTTTTATTAATACGAAATACGAAAAGGAGGCCGGGAAATCCTCCACAAGATACCCGGAGAAAAAGAAATGTGGGACCATTACCGAGCTTCGGTGCAGGCATCGGGTATTATGTAGGGTTGTGGTTCGGCTGTGAGGACCCGGGGCCAAGTCCCACGTACGGTCATTTCTGATTTCTGACCATTGATCTCCCTTATCTACGGTTGGAAATTGAGAATTCGGGTAAGTGGGACTTGGCCCCCAGTAACTTTTTCGTGAAGTGGGTTTGGTACGCGGGGACTGGGTTTGGGTACTGTGGATTGACGAGTGGACGTGTGGGCAATGTGGAACTGGGGCGGCCAGTGGGTGGGGAGTGGGTGTCGGCAGCTCGCAAGGACCATCTGTGGCCGTTAAATGTCCTACCAGTATGTACCGAAGGTTTCCGGTGGGCAATTGTTGGTCCTATGGTGTCTTAGTACTGGTTCATATGTGGTCTTTTTTTTTTTTTTTTGGCCCAGTGCCCAAGGCTGATATCTTCAATTAGAAGATTGAGGCCGGGGTCCTCACAGTCTACCTGGAGTAACTGACATCATTATGTTGAGGATCGGGCTCAGCACCCCTTAAAGAACAGCAATGATGCAAGAAACTTAAGATGAAAACAACCTCTTCAACCTTCTAACGGCTGTCAGATAAAACATCACACAACTAGTTGTTTCCATTTTAAGTCTCTTCTCTACCAAGCCAAGACATATCCACCAGCGATAACATTGAAGAAGGGAAAGGGTCAGGGAAGAAATCGAGATCTGTTTTCGAAGGTCGATGACGGGCAGTGTGGTGAAAGTTTCGTTGACGGAGGTGGTGGTTGTCGCGGTGTAGAAATCTGGGGGGATGAGGGAGACTTCATGGCGCCAATGGTCTTCTGTGTTATTCGTGGATTCTGGATGGTGCCAGTAGGAGAAATCGTGGTGGTGTGTGCGTGTTGTGATGGTGGGCAAAAGAGCCTTCAACATTTGCTGGTGTTCGATGGAGAGAGAGAGAGAGAGAGAGAGA